GCATTTATGATTAAAAATAAATAAAGAAAGAAAGAAAGAAAGAAAGAAAGAAAGAAAGAAAGAATGAAAAACAAAAAAAGAAAAAAGAAACAAAAAAGGAAATAAAAAGGAAGAACTTAAACGCATTAATAATATCATTGACAATATTAATTATCCACCACGAGAGGTATAAAGTAGAAATATAAATTAACGACCATTGTGCGGGTTGAATAAACAATTAATTAATTAATTAATTAATTAATTAATTAATTAATTAATTAAAAAGAGAAAGAACAATGAAGAATGTGAGATCGATAAGAGAAATGGCGCGGGTGCTCGATTTTTCGAGGGTTTTTTTTTCTTTTGTAAAATACGAAAAAAAGAAAAAAAAAAGAAAAGAAAAAAAGAAAAAAAGAGAAAAAAGATAAATTATATATACACAGGACGGATCAATAATTTCATAGGTGGACCGAAAGTTCTTAGATGATTTTAAAAATCAATTATACTTTTTTGAGATAATTTCGTGATAATTCTTTTTCCATTTTCATTCTTATTGAAACGTACGAGCTAAGGCTTGTAGTTTTACAATTCGATGAAGAAAAGTAGAGAGAGAAAAAAATGTGCGATGTTTCGAAAAAAAAAAAAAAAAAAAAAAAAAAATCAATATGATAATTAATTTCCAAAAAACCGTCTAGTAATCTTATGGACTGCTCTGTACGTATATATATATGTATATAAAAAAAAAAAAAAAAAAAAAATAAAGACAAAAAAACAAAAAAGAAAGAAAGAAAGAAAAAAGAAATAATATATGACTCGTCGTCGTTGATCGGAGGATAATCGTATCTTCGATCATCCCGCACAATGTGATCGTCAACTAAAAGGCCTATCGTAACGAATAAATAAATAAATAAATAAATAAATAAATAAATAAAAAAAAGAAAAAAGGAAAAAAAAAGAACAAAACGTGAATAATTAAGGAGCGCAGATGTTAATTAATGTCTTCGCATAATAACGATTATATATGAGAATTTAATTTAAGCGATTCTAATCGAAGCGTTAATTATCATCACACATATAAACATATGAACGTATAAACATACATACAAACACACACACACATACACACACACATATACACATGGAGAAAGACATGCACGTGTTCGATCGAAACAAGAACGTTCGGAGAATAAAAAGTTAAAAATGCGATCCCCCATCGATTTAACATTAAATTTGTTCGAAAACCATAATGCAATTAGAAGAATAAAAATTATTATTATTATTATTATTATTATTATTATTATTATTATTATTATTATTATTATTATTATTATTATTATTGTTATTATTATTGTAATAATTATTATTCTCTCGTATGAGCATTCAAATTTCATTCGCACTTGTTGGCCTTCAAAAAAATCTTATATGATATATGTATGTATGTACGCATGTACGCATGTATGTATGTATGTATGTATGTATGTATGTATGTATGTATGTATGTATGTATGTATGTATGAATAAGAGAAAAGAAAGTGCAATAGAAAATGCAAAAGAAAAAAGAAATAGAAGAAGGTAACAAGGGCGAATTTAATCCCGTTCACATATGTATGTATGTAGAAAAGTAAATTGTTAACGAAATTGAATAATAACGGAACATATAAAATAATAATTAATAATTAAACCGATTAATATCCGTTTATTCGTCGAGAGTTTCTAATTAAAAAAGAAACAAAAAAAAAACAAAAAGACAACAACAACAACAACAAATGACAACAAAATCATCTTAATAACAAAAAAAAAATCTTAGATCATGTTCGTAAAGTATAATAAATTTTGAAGTACATAAAGTGTACAAAAAAAAAAAAGAAAAGGAAATAAATCGAACGAAAAAAAAAAAGAGACATTACATGTAAATAAATAAACAAGCGAACAAAAAGATAAAGGAGACGGAGGAGGAGGCGAAGGAGGAGGAGGCGAAGGAGGAGGAGAAGAAGAAGAGAAGGAAAAAAGGAATCGTAAGTTATAAATATACAAAATAATTCGTAGAAAGTTAAAAATGTACTCGCCTTATAAATGCGAAAAGAAAAGAATAAATCTAACGAGATTGTGAGATAATACGTATTGTATTATGTGCTAATCGAAATGAATTCTTCGTCGCGATTACATTAATGATACATTACATTATAAAAGAGAGAAAAGAAAAAGGAAAGAAAAAAAAAGAAAAAAAGAAAAAAAAAAAATAAATAAATAAATAAACAATAAACATATGAAATAAGAAAAGGAAAGGACGTGAAGCGAACGAACGAAAACGAAATGAAAATGAAAGTGAAAATAATGAAGAAATTGAAAATGAAAATAAAGATAAAGATTAAAAATGAAAAGAAAAAAGAAAAAAAAAAAAAAAAAAAAGAAAAAAAGAGACAAAAAACAAACGGAACGAGCAATGCGCGCGTATCGTCGCTCCCACCCCCCCCCCCCCCCCATGTAAATACATATACATATACATATGCATACACATGTACGTAATAGGGGAGTTAAAACAGAGAAACGACAAAAAGAAAAAAGAGAAAAAAAAAAAAGGAAGAAAAGGAAATGAAAAATGCCGTTCGTTTAGCCTTCGAATAAAACTGTCTCCCTAAATGTTCCCTAAACGTTTTTGTTACTGTATTCGTTGCTTGAGATAATTGATATTAAAGTTCAAATGAAGTTTACGAAGATAGGGCCGTATCTTCCTCCTGACATCATTGTAATAATATTTTCAATTATGTTTTTCTTCTCTCTTCTCTCTCTCTCTCTCTTTTTCCTTGATTATTAACAAAATATTCATTTTAACATTCCTTCTTTTTCTTTATCGCTGTTTCTCTCACATTCACTCATACACAAACACACACACACAAACATATATACATTCTCTCTCTCTCTCTCTCTCTCTCTCTCTCTCTCTCTCTCTCTCTCTCTTTCTCTTTTTCTCTTGCGCGTTAGGTTTGTAGCGCGCGTTGTTTATCCCGGATATAGCGTTTTGCTATTTTCCCACGATCATTGTTAATTGTTATATATATATATATATACATATATATATATATACATACACACACACGAATTTTCAGTTTAAAGATGACATCACATAGTTATCAGTAATAACATATGTGCGGAGTATACATATATATATATATATATATATATATATATATATATATATATATAGTTATTTAGTATCAAATATTTTATTATATATTAGCAATAATTTAAATAACGTATTTGAAAGAAGAAATAATCGATAAGAGATTATTTAGATTTTATCATATAGAAATGTTTTTGCTTTGTTTTATCAATATTATGATATTATTATTATTATATTATAAAGATGTTATATATATATATATATATATATATATATAAAATTATTTCTAAATAATAAAATATTGAAATTTATTGCTAGATAACGCAGGAGATTTTATTATGGATTGTGCACTTCTCATATGTCATTTCTTTTCTCATTTTGTTTTTTCTGATGCTGATAGTAGTGAAAAGTAATGCGTTTTATCAGTTTATTCAACCGAATTATAGCATCTTTATACATAGAATTATATTATTATTATTATTATTATTATTATTATTATTATTATTATTACTATTATTATTTACATATTTCAATGACTAACGATAGTACCTCTATTGTTTATCACTTTGCATCATTTAGTAGAAACCCGAGTGCGTTTGTTCCATGCAAAATTCGATCCGTAAGAACGAGGCTTTGGGCCAACCTGATTTGGCTTTTGAATGTAATACTTCCAACCCATTTTTTCGCAATGCAATATAGCTGCCTCTTTACTTGAGAAATCAACTTTTACATTTGACAATGGATCACCCCTTAATCGAAATATTATTATAATCATTATGGCATTAATAATAATACATTCTATATTAAAAATAATTACTTTAAGACAATGAAATTAATTGTACGATTACTTACGTCGAGGTCCATCCTATCAATGGATTCTCCCAACGTTCACGGGTATCAAAATCAATTTGCCAATAATGAATGTTATTGGTGCCAGATTGCATAGAATTCTTAGGAGGTTGATATATTCGTACCATACGAGTTTTAATATGTTCTTCTGGTACTCCTGATACTGCACCAACGTCTTCTACAACTGGCACTGTAATAATTGCTTTAGCAGATTTGTCATAAGAAGGTAAGGGCGGATTTTCTGTATTTAACCTTATATCAATCGAAGATTTTTCATTTGTTTCTTCTTTTTTTTCTAATTTAATGGAACTCGTAGAGAATAATTTTATAAAGCTGCAAACGTTAAAAAAAAGAAATAATAATTAACATACGATAATGAAGAAAATTAAAAATTTCATAGGGTTATATAAAAGGTATGAGGTTATGTTCATCCGAAGATGTCATAGATTACAATTAATACATAAGACAAAACTAATAATGCATTATCAACTCACCGTTCATTCCCATTGATATTTAATTCCTTGGTGCATCTTCGTAGCAATGCACGATACGCCATATTTATCGAATAAAATGAAAATTCTTTATTAGAAAGACATAAGCGAATAAACACTAAAAATGTCGGCTACGAAATACAAGAGGAAAGAACTCCTATTGGAACTTAGATGTATGCGATTCGATTGGTCAATTCGTTCGAGATCGAGATTGAGATCGAGATTGTACATTGAAACCCGCGAAATATTCAAATCTCTTCGTTGTACCATTCGTCGTCACATTAAACGCATAAAATTTGTGACAAGTATTGTTATATTATTAAAAGTTTCAATAAATCGAAGAAAATAAATAAACAAAATAGTACGAATTATTTATATTTAAAGAGAAAGAAAAAAAAAAATAGAAAAAAAAGATGACGTTCATGTATAACGTAGAGTATATAAAGTTAATAATAAATAATTCTTCTAACGATTCTAATTAATATATAATTAATCGATTTCGAGTATCCAAAGGAAATGTGGAAAACTGACTGACCTACCCCCTTAAAAGGATGCAAAGGAGGATAGGTCCGTTTATATCGTGTAAGATGCACGCATGCCCGGGACGCATTTTACCCACCTCCCCACCAACCCTCTCTGTCCTCTGTCTTCCGTTCTCGGCCCCACCGTCCCCACCGTCCCACCGTCCCCCACCCACCCATAACGACTTGCATCGTGCAAGGTATCATGCTTCTTGGTCGCAACCATTCCGAAGAAATGCATTTGATCTGAAAAGTGTTAAAAATACGTTAATGTAAATTTAATTATATTTAACGTTCGTATTAAATTGTCTCGTTGGTTTCGTGATACGTTTGTGATAAAGGAGAAAAAAAAAAGAAAAAGAAAAAGGAAAAGAAAAAGAAAAAGAAAAAAGAAAAGAAAAGAAACAAAAAAGGAAGTTAAAAGAGAGACCGAAGATGCCGGGCAAAGTAAGTTCGTTTTTTTTTTCATTTTAATTCACGTTCCCTCGAAGTAACACGAAATAGTATCGATAAGATTTGATATATCTTGTTGCGATGTCACACGATAACCCTTATCGAATTCTTAATCAATATATTTGAATAATATAACGTGTTTGTTCCTTCGCGTTTTATCATCGATCAGAACATAAACTAAACTGTTGCTAACAGCTGTTGCTTTAGTGTCACATCGCACGAGACTTCTACTCGATACTTTCGACTCTTTCTATGTATGTATATATATATATGTATATATATATGTATATGTACAATTGTTTATAATCAATCATGACACATGCATAAATAATATATATATATATATATATATTTTTTTTTTTCTCTTTTTTTTTCTTCTTTTAATTTTAACAAAACATTCTAATGTTAACAGGACAAAACAGGATTCTTAATGTCGGCTATATTAATTCTTTTAATTGGCGTTTATTACGTCAATGCGAGACACATTATAGCAAAGAGAAATTATAGCGATCAGAGTGTCAGAGGATATTTAGCAGAGGTAGGCTAAGTTTGATAAGAAAAATGATTTAAAAAGAGAGAGAAAGAGAGAGAGAGAGAAAAAGAAAAGAAACATTTTATCTTCTTCCTTTTCTTCTCTATTCTCTTTTCTTTTTCTTTCTTTCTTTTTTTTTCAAATCGAAGAAGAATCTTACCTCTATTTTAAAAACAAAAAAAGAACAAAATAAGAATATATTTGCGAGTGATCGCGATGTGGAAAAATGACGATGACGGCTACGATAAGAAGGACGAGGGGAGGGGGTGGGGGAAGAGAAAAAAGAAAAAGACAGAGAGAGAGAGAGAGAGAGAGAGAGAGAGAGAGGGATGGCGGGAGGGAGGGGAAAGAAAAAAAAGAACGACGACTAACTCAATGTAAACAAATTGGAAAATATAATATAAAATAAAAAATATAATTTAGAAATTAAATATAATATAAAAAATAAATAAATAAATAAATAAATAAATCTGATAAATATAATATCCAAAAAAAAAAAAAAAAAAAAAAAAGAATTAATAAATCTGATCGAAATCGTATCTACTTTTGTCGTTATATAATTTAGAGAACCTGTTGGTGGAACGAGGTATGCAAGGAAGAGTTTCATAGTAAATTTCGTTGCCGTTGTCCAAGATGGTCCTATTGCCGTTCTCCTGGGAGATATTACGATGCACATTGCAGTATGACGCGCACAGGTTATATTTGGACTCAGCCGGAAACCTCGCTGACTCTGGAAATCGATAAGTAACCGGGACAACGCGTAGATGCATACGTACATACGTACATACGTATATACATACATACATACACAGATGCATATGTAAAATATCTATCTAGTCCTGTTTACGTCTATACTACGTCAAATCAAATATTTCATTCTCCTACCCTTCATCTTTCCCCTCATCATTCCCCCTCCAATCCTTCCACCTCCTTCTCCCGTTCTCTCCTCATCTCTATCGCCCCTATCCCATATCCCTTTACCCTTTCATCATGAGTGACATCCTACAAAATTTTTAATCTAAATTCTCTTGCAATTCTCAATGATACTTTTAATACGAAGAAATCGATTGAAATCAAATCAAATGAAATCAAATGAAATTTTAGACATCTTTTGAATCGTTTTTTTATATAGCATCGGCATAAGATGACCATAAATTAGTATTGACTAATATATATATATATATATATATATGTATATATTATTCAATAATTTTTCACGAGTTATTCATGCGGCACCCATGTTGTTATATATATATAAACCGATTGATAATATTCTAGAGACTATCAATTGGTATATTAATTAATTAATAATGTTTTAATCTAAACATCGAGAGAGAACACGTTTGAGGTGTTACATTTGACCCCATTGTCTCTTTACAACGTATATTTATTATATTATGACACCTAAATTGTTATAAATTATAAGGCACGCGATTATTCTTCACTACTGCCATAATATTTCTAATCAGTAGTAATAACAGGTACTATATTCATTACATAGAAGGAAGAATATGAGAAAAGGAAGAAAGGAAAAAAGAACAAAAAAATAATACTAATAATACTAATAATATTAATAATACTAATAATAATAATAATAATAATAATAAAATTCCTATGGAATATTAATGATTTATTAATTTGATTTCGCAAACACATCGAATTTTTCGAAGAAGAAGAAAGAATAAAAAAATGAAAGGAAATATTTTTCAATATCTCGCACTATATAAAGTTTCTTTAAGTCTTCCAAATTTGATGATGATAGTAAAGTTAGGACGAAGGAAAAAAGAAAAAAGAAAAAAAAAAAAGAAAAAAAAAAAAAAAAATAACCCGCGTGAAAATTTACGAGCTAATCGAATTATTTCAAATATAATTATATTTCACATTTACGAAGAAAATATTTATATATCACTGCCACTCTCTTGCCGTATATATCGTAATAATTAATATTTAATCTTGTTGAAATCAAATATAAAAATCAAACACTTCGAACTTGCTTGCTTTACTTTATCACAATTTCTTATGAATTATTATAATAGAAATAATAGATACACATATATATATATACACACACACACACACACACATATAAAAGGGCTTAATAATTAGAGAAAGTAAATAAGAAGGGTAAAGCAGGTGAAATTTTTGTGATATTACTCTGTAACGTTACATTTAATTCCAAACAAAAGAAATAAAAAAAAAAAAAAAAAAAAAAAAAAAGCAGAAGAAAGAAAAGATATAAGAAAGAAAAAAATTAATAAAAATTGTAATTTATCTATGTATATCGATATCATGAAGATGTTATAATAATAAAAAAAAAAATATATATATATATATATAAATGATAGAACGAAAGATTATTATTTATTTTCACAAACTTATGTTATATTAATGATTTTATTCTACAATAATACAAATAAAATTGTGATTGAATGTATTTTGTGTTTTTTTTTCCGTTTCCTTTTGTGTGCGTGCGTGCATGTGCGTGCGGATGAAAATTTTCCTTTTAAAAGAGATCGTGGTGGTAAAATTTATCAAGCTTCATCTAAAACACCATTTATCTAACGCAATATTTTCAAATACAAAAACTTTCAAACGTTATACTGTGGCATATCGAATGAAAGCAAAAAAAAAAGAAAAAAAAAAAAAAACAAAAGAAAAAAAAAATTCGAACATATCAAGATTCTAAAATATTCAATTTCGTATGAATTTTTAATCTGTCTTTTGTTTAATTGAAATAAAATTTTCAATAGGTCACGTTTGTTTAGTACGAATGAATGTGCGTATCGAACGAAAGAAAAAAAGAAGAAGAAGAAGAAGAAAAAAAAAAAATAAATAAATAAAGGAAAAAAGAATGAAGAAAAAACAAAAATATTTTTAAAACTATACAAACGAGACAACATTCCTTTCGTTGATAAAACATCGACAGAGACGTAGATTTTAAAGGTTAAATATAATAATCAAGATGAGAGATATTGCAGAGGATCAATGAAATGTATTTTATTCCAAAGCCAAGGAGAAATATAATATACAGGGGTAAGTCTACTACGCCAAAGGCGTCTGAGTTTCTTAAGGTCAAGAGGATTTCGTCCAGGAAATATAAACAACAATATCTATATGATCTTACTAAACCCATCCGACGACAACATATATACGTAATTTGGCCGGGATTTGTGATGCGCCATTATAGTTGCGCGCGCATATCGATTGGCCCAGTTGGCCCGGAGAGATATGACGGAGCAGGTCCTGCCAGTGGATCCTGGACCAAGTGCAGTTGGCTTAGAACGGTTGATAGAACAACACGTTCGCCAGCTGTCAGACAAAAATTCACTTTTTTACATTAGCCCCACCTATTTTTTTCTTTTTCTCTACCTATTTCTTTCTTTCGTTCTCTTTCTAAATTATTTTCCGCATTTTTGATTTACTTCCTGACTCCGAAATCCATTCCTTTCTAATAATTCTAAAGAGAATATTATTCAATCTACGAATAATTCCTTTATAATTTTTATCCGTTCGTTTATCTCTTATATCGTTCCTCCTCGTAATCTCTTTAATATATTTTTATTTCTCTTGTTATATTTATTATATCCTATAAAATTCTATCTCCTTACTGTTTCCATTATCGTTAAAGTTTTATTTCGTTCGTCATAAATCTTCCGTCGTATTGATACATTTCCGGTACGATAATCGTAAGTAATCTTTTTTGTGATTAAGTGTAATAATAATCATTTTCAATTTGATTTAAATATTTTTAATTATCCGATATCGTTTAATATTCGTCGATATTTTTATCGTCTATTATTATTATTATTATTATTATTGTTCGTTTCAACGTCGTCGTGCCGGATTTTATCCTCTTAATGCGTATGTGCGTGTTTGTTCGCGCTCGCGCGTAAGAGTGAGAGAGAGAGAGAGAGATAAAGAGAGAAAGAGAGAGAGAGAGAGAGAGAGGAAGAGAGAGAGAGAATTATCGATTTAAGTTCGACGAGGAGAAGATAGTTTGGAGTGAGCCAGTTGATCGGTCACGTATCACCACAAGGGAGAAGATCTCAAAGAGTTTCAATGTCGTGGAACGTCATCGGGCAAGTTCTTTTAATTTTACTTGGTTTATTTTTTATCGATGACGTCACGTCAGATCTCAATGGGCCAAAGATTTTCGAAAGGGATCGATCCTACAACGATGACCTGTCTGACATTTATACGGTGAGTTTTATATATCTTCATTTATTTTTGCTTTTTATTCTTATTTTTGTTTTACTTATTTTTATTTGCTCATTTATTTTACTCATTCGATCGATCTCTCATCGTCGTTTGATTTTTTTTTCTCCTTTTTTTTTTCTGTTTCCCAACTAATAGACACTGATAACTGTCGGAATGGAAGCGAAATTGTTGAAACCAGTGGAGAATCCTGATTGGCTAGGACCAGAAAATCTTGGCCAGATTTCTGGTGTCTCGGTGGATCCTTTGGGATATCCAGTCGTCTTCCATCGAGCCGATCGATTGTGGGAATACGGGTAAGTATTTCTTAACATTCTTATATATGTTTTTATTTTCTCATTTTGTTTTTTTATTTTTTTCTTTTTCTTTTTTCTTTTTTTTTTACCGTGAAATAATCTTCGTTCGTTCAAGATATTAACATATAATTTTCTAACAATACGATTTTAAAGTTTAGCGCATGAAAAATAACGAGAAAGTATTGTTCGTATATTTAAAATTTCTGTATTTTGTTATATAGAATTTTACAATGGATTTATTCGAATAGATAATGCGAATAAGAATTTCTTATCACTCTTTTTCTTTTTTTTTCTTTTGTCCTTTTCTTTTTTTATTTTCCTTTTTCGTGAAATAATCCTATCGTTCGTTCAAGATTTAACATATGGAAGTATTTATATCTAATTTTTTAATAATACAATATTAAAATTTAACGCATGAAATATAAATGAGAAAGTTGTTATTCATGCATTTATGATTTTATATATCCAATGATAATAAAACGAAATTGTATAATATTAAAGTGTATAAAATTAGAATAAAAAAGTCTATAAAATTAGAATAAATTTTGTCTATATCTTTCATATGAAAAAAAAAAAAAAAAGTTATATATTGATTATATTGAATATAAACTATTGTTATTAATGATAATAAGATTACGATATTATGTTGATACTACGACAATGGATTTTGTGTCGTATTATATATAAAAGGATTGCGTATATCGATTCATAGTTAATTTTTCTTTTTTTTCTTTTTTTTTTTTTTTTTTCTTTATACATTTACAATCGAGATACAGTAATTAATAAAGAAGATATCGTAATTACTAAAGAATATTGTAATTAATAAAGAAAAAAAAGGAAAAAATGGCATCGATTTTATAAAAACATTCGTTGAACAAATCGTAATTTCATTCTCGTTTAATCATTTGTAATATCATATGATTTTATTACGAAATAGTACCTTCACCAATGACAACGTTTATCAAGAAGAATATAAAGGACCGATTAAAGAAAATACTGTGCTAACGTTGGATCCTAAAACTGGTGAAGTTATACGTGGTTGGGGAAATCACACGTTTTATTTGCCACACGGTATACACATTGATAATTTTGGAAACGTGTGGTTGACCGATATTGCACTCCATCAAGTTTTTAAGGTAACGATTAATTATAATTATTATTATTATTATTAATTATTTTACTTTATCCTGATCCCCAATCGTATCTTTAATCTCAATCCCCACCACCCTTTCACGCTTAACACCTGCCTATCCTCGCCATAAAAAAATCCCTCCAACCCCTTGCATCTTCGCTCTGTTTCTCTCTCTCTCTCTCTCTCTCTCTCTCTCTCTCTCTCTCTCTCTCTCTCTCTCTCTGTCTGTCTGTCTGTCTGTTTCTCTGTCGCTCTCGTTCTTTTTCTCTCTCTTTCTATTTATCCATTTTGCTTTAATTAATCCAAATCAAAAAATCAATCGGTAAAACGGCAGTCCACGAACGATTTGTAACCCAGGCCAATAAAAAAAAACAAAAAAAAAAAACCAAAAAAAAAAGAGAAAAGAAAAGTACAAGTTGTTTCCAAGTTTTGAAAGTCAGATATTTTTTTTTCTTATATTGGTATATATATGTATATGTATATAAAGAAGAACAGAAAAAAAGAAAGAAAAAAGAACAAATTATGATTCAACGATTCAAGTATATATTTGTGAATTAGGATAATTCAGGGGGGATGGGGTGTTACACGAAAGTGAATATCAATCGTTTCAGAATCCAATACGTTCGATTTATTGCAATCGAAAGTTATCTTTCTTATTTTTTCTTTTTCTTTTTATACTTATTAAATCAATTGTAAAATTAATAACGAATATTTTTCCTTCTTTTTTTCTTTCACTTTTTTTTTTTTTTTTTTTTTTTTTTTAATACATATATATTACTAGCCTGTTGTATCAGTAATGTCGTTAATCATTAATTTAATTTAATTTTTAATTAATTAATTTCCTTGGAGATATTCATCTGCTTATACACACTAAAAATAGAGATATCGATAAACGAAGTTAATTTTTTTCTTAAATGTCCTTTTTTTTCTTTTTTTTTCTTTTTAATATTATTAAAAAAAAAAAAGAAAAGGAAGAAAAAAAGAAGAAAAACAACAGAAATAATTTACGCGCATTGTCGAGACGATGTAACAATGACGTATGGGTATTCCCCCTGCTCCTAACCACCCCCCACCCCACCTCTACGACAAAGAATAATAAAAAATTTTGATCATCGTCATCGTCGTCGTCGTCGTCATCATCGTCGTCGTCATCGTCGTCGTCATCGTCATTGTCCTTCGTTGTCCTTGTTGTTATTGTCATCGTCGTCGTCGTCGTCGTCGTCGTCGTTGTCGTCATCGTCGTCGTTGTTGTTATTATTTATTTCTTCCTCTTTTTCTTCTTCTCGTTTTTCTCCCTCTCGTACATCCTTTACATTTTTCTCTTTTCACTTTTTCTCCCTCGTGTTTTCTTTTTTTTTTTTTTTTCCAAAAAAACAGTACAACAGTAATGGGACTCTCGGATTGTCACTTGGTCAACGATTCGAGCCAGGAAACGATTTTGAACACTTTTGTCAACCAACGTCGGTAGCCGTGGCACCGTCGACAGGCGAGATCTACGTAGCTGACGGATATTGCAATCGTAGGATTGTTCTCTTCGATTCAATGGGAAAGCCACGTTACATCATAGAAGGACGTACGTTGTCGGTCGTTACGTAAAACGTTTCATTTAAACGTTGAAAAAATTATTCATATGTTTGTGTAAATTTTAAAATGTCGTCGTGTCGTTCCTCCATTGAATGTTTTTTTTTTCTTTCTTTTTTTTTTTTTTGTTTTTTGTTTTTTGTTTTTTGTTTTTTTTTTGTTTTGTTTCGTACCTAATAACTCCTCCTCCGCCGCCCCCTTCCCTACGACTTCAATCTTCCCCCTCTCGCATTTCACGTTCCTTCCCCCACCCCTCCACCCCCCGCCCGTTATCACTATCTCTGCCTCGTCATTTTTATTCGATATATTCGTATTGATCGGTATTTCGAATTAAATGACAGATATTTGTAATAATATTATTGATACGTATGTATTTGTAATTATTGATACGTAAGCGACAATTGAAAGATAATTGAATGTTGATTTTTACTCGAGAAAAAGAATGAAGAGAAATAAAAGGGAAGAAAAAGAGAAAAGAACAATTGTAAAAGAAACATTTGTCAGTACTTTATACGAAATATTTGTTGATAATACGAATAAAATTAATTAATTTTACAAAAAAAAATTTTAATACACTAATTCGGAAATTTCAATAACAATATTAAATTCGGTATATGAAATCTGTCGTATTAATTGTTCATTGTATAATAATGATCGTTTGTATTACTTATACGATGTTTTTTTCTTTTTTTTTTTATTTGCAAATACTTCGAGACAATGTACCATCTTGTGTATAATTAATCGATCGTTATCATTTCATTGTTTATTTATTTATTTTCTTTTACAATCTTTTTTTCTTTTTTTTTTTTTTTTTTTCTTCTTTTTATTTACAAAATACTTATAGATCGATCAATAAAAGTACCGATTGAATGAGTAGAAAAGTGTTTTTATTCTAATTCCTTTTTGCGCGTGCTTGTATGTACGACGCGTGTGTTCTCTTTTCTTTTCTATTTTTCTTTTTTCCTCTTCTTCCTCTCTTCCCCTTAAAGATATTCCTTGATTTTACGAATTCACTTCCATCTTTTTCTTTTTCACTAACATATCTAGTATATTCCTTATTATTATTATTATTATTATTGTTATTGATGTTGTTGTTGTTGTTGTGTTGTTGTTGTTGTTGTTGTTGTTGTTGTCATTGTCGTTGAAAATATTTGTTTTAAAAAATGATTTTTATGTTATATTATTTAAATAAAAAAACGAAAAAAGAAAAAGATACAAATAATCAAAAAATTCGTCGAAATTGAAATTACATGTATGCTTGATAATCTTATCAAAAGGGGGAAAAAAAAGAAAAAGGAAAATAACGTTATTTCATTGATAAAAAAAAGAAGAAAATTTTTTTTCGAATCAAACATTCAAATATTTTCATTCTTTCATATATATCTTTGATCGATATCACAAAATTCGAAATTTACATGTTTAACGTATTTGATCGCGAATAATGTAACTCTCTAATCGATTTAATATAATACGAATAAAAATTTTCTTTTTAGACCGAATAAATCTACTGATACCACATTCATTAACGATATTATCCAATGGAGATCTCTGCGTTGCTGATCGAGAAAATGGAAGAGTACTTTGTGTAAATGTTAGACCTTTTGGATCGAAAATCATTATCTCTAAACCACCGTATTCTGTCTCATTCTTTGGTCGAGTTTTCGCTGTTGCCTCTTATCGTAAGTATCATTTATCATTATTCTTATTATTATTATTATTATTACTATTATTATTATTATTATTATTATTATTATTATTATTATTATTATTATTATTATTATCGTCAATGCAGGTGACTGGATTTACGCCGTGAATAAGATGGTGTTCAGTTCAAGTGCAATAGGCTACATGATAAATCCATATACTCGAAGAATCAACAATCTATGGTACCCTAAATACGACGTAAGTAAATTCCCACCGTATGTCATGTTATGTAAAAAAAAAAAAACAAAAAAAAAAAAAAGAAAAAAAATAACTAAATTTCCAATAATTCTCGTTAATATGATATTCTCATGATTTTCCTTATTTAGAATTTTCAAAATCCACATGACATCGGGATATCCCCCAACGGCACGTCACTTTACGTCAGCGAAATAGGTCCTAACAAAGTATGGAAGTTCGATTTGATAAAAAAAGTATGAAAATCAACGAACGATCCTAGACTTGTGTAAAAATGACGTTAACCAAAATAAAAAAAAAAAAAAAAAGAAAAAA